CTCTGCTAAACAAACCAAGAAATGTTTTTGTAGAAGGATAAAAATAATCAAAAGTACAGCATCATAAAAAAATCACAGATATATCCTAAACAGCTCTAGCTCCCTAAATTTCTATAGCATTTATTTTGTTCATCTCTCTAGTACTTCTTGGTATAACAAATTTATAAGTCAAGGAGTAAAGGAGAATTTCCCCTTTCATGTTCTAAAATTGCTTCTTTCAAAGTTCAGGTGTTCCTTATCCCCTTTAGTTTTGGTGTTGGATAGTCTGGTGACTCATTCCTGATTATATAGTATATAAACTTCATATTCATAAAATTCAATCATGTTTTTGTTCAGTATTCTTTCCAAAGTGCTTTATCCACTGCGGTAAGCTACCAGTCCTCAAATCATTTATGAGGCCTTTCTGGAACTGTTCTAGTTCTTCATGTTTGTATTGATATATGTATAGTTCCCAAAAGAGTAGGTGATAAGCACACAAGATGTAGACTACCATGATTCTATATATATCCAGGTTGATGTTTACATAATTCTTTAATAATAAACAGGTCAGTATTTTACATAACCATTTGTCATCAATCCATGTTTTTATCCAGGCATTTCCTTGCTGTATGAACTTTCTTACTGTAAAAACAGTCCTCCTGTAGCAAATACCTGTCTAGGACTTTCCTTTAAAACTCCTTGCCTGCTGCTGCAAATCTTCCCTGATACTGGTTTTCTATACACACGTAAGCACTTATCTACATACAAAAACAAAAACAAAAAACAAACCACACGTGCAAATAAAACTAAAAAAAAATGTTTCTCCTTTGCTTCTGCAAAATATCAAACAACAAACCTTCTCCTAGTCCCTGTATACTTCATTTTCTCTTTTGCTCTTTCTATTCCCTGACTGAACTCCATGTTCCCTTCTGGCCTCTAGGGTTCTTTCTCATCTTTTTTTAAAAAACAGGGTAAATATTAAAAACACAACAAAAAGAAAAGACTTCTCATTCTCCAACTAATGTGCAGGATAAGAAGTGAAGAGCAATGCAGTGAGGAGCAAATAGGTCTCTTAAGCCAAATAAATTTTAGCAATTAACAGCATCTTCTGTGCATGGAACTTAAAAATACAGTTTTTGATACTTCACACCTTATGAATGCCAATTGGGAAACTTGCATTTAGGTAATAATTAACTTTTTAAAACTAGACTCCAATGTTGCGGAGTCCAATTTTAAAGTCGTTAATATTTTTGGATGAATGGGAATCATATGATAGATTGATGAGGAATGAATGAAATGTATGAGCTTTAAGCTGTTAGAAGGTAATAATTCCTTTGGGGCCTTCCAGATAGTCTGTGAGCTAGTATTCTGTAGAATTAATACAACTATGACAGCAACATACATTTAAATAAATGAATTAGCCCTAGAAACTGGTACTTTTTAAGGTTTTATTGGAATATCTTCAAAAAGACAGCACTGTACTCATTCATTCAGGAAAAGTTTTTTTTGTTGTTGTTCTTAAGGCAGATGAAAATTGGTAGTATAGGTGCTCCAGGTTGTCTTCCATCTTTCCCTGATTTATCCATTCTGAATCATCATTGGCCTCAAGACTCCCTAACAAAAGCCTCTATTGAGTTTCATTCTGAGTTCCCCAGTGATAGGTTCAATGACAGTAGTTCTGCTTGAAGATGTAGGTGGATCTTCACCTTCACATGATCAGGCCACTGAGTAGGCGGCATCGTATTTTGGTGAATTGGGAGTGAACATAAAATTCATAGGAACAAATGTTGACCCAAGTACAAGGAAGGAGTCCAGTATTTTAAAATATGTAATTAGTCAGTGACTAGGAACTCTTCCATACATGAGTCTGGAAAGATAAGTCATATACAGAATGTTTTCTTTTTCTACCTTAAATATCTGTACTAGTTAACTAGACAATACCATGTGAGTTGCTAATTTTAGAGGCATTGGACTCATTTTTACAGTAAAGATATAAGCTAAGTATGAGGTCCAAAAAAGCTACTTGTTGTGGAAGTTTTTTGAGAACCTAACTAAAAGTCCCTATCAGAAGCTGCCTGTTGTTAATGAGAAGCTCATTGAAATAGAATAATGTAATAAAAACCAACTATCCTTCCCAGCTGACTTAATTTTTGAAGAAAGCTGAAAAAACAGACATGTGACCTGTGGTCTGAGAGATACCCAAATAGATCCCTCCAACACATTTATATTCAAATTTTACCCTGCAGAGAATTTCAGTTTCTACTTCAAAGATGTTGTGGCTAATGGAAAGGTTCATATGCATCTTCCTCCTGAATGAGCCCCTAAAAGTCAGCATGTTCCCCAACCTCCAGCTGCATTAATTATCTCAGAGCAGCCATAAACATTCTGTAAAGATTCTATAGAATTTAAGAGCCCACCAGCTCTTATTTACAAAGCTCTTTGATACCTATTCACAGACTTTTGGTTCAGAATGAAAATGCATAGGATGCATAGCCTCTTCTTAGAACGTTCACTATTTTCCTTTTTGCTATTTAGGAATAGGAGTCTACTAATTTAAAGCAAATGTCCAAAAAAAGCACATCATCCTCCAGGTAGTTTGGCAATATCTAGCCAATTTTTACATTTTTAAAAATATTTTTGTTGATTTCAGAGAGGAAGGGAAGGGGAGAGATAGAAACATCAATGATCAGAGAGAATCACTGATTGGCATATAGTTTTTAAAAGACAGTATTGTAAGTGAAAAAATAGGTTAGCATCAAATGTTTCAACAATAACACTTAGGTCTGAAGAAAATGGAGTAACATATTTAAGATTCATAATTAAATGTGAGCTGAGAATTTTTATATTCAGAAAAACTGACTTTTGGGTACAAGGAACACAAAGTGTTACCAGAATGTAAAAACTCAGGGAATATTGTTCCTGTGAGTCCTTCCTGTGTATCTACTAGAAAACAAGCTTCAGAGTAACTCATGCCACATCAGTAGGAAGATTTGTGAAGATTAAAATATACAGCTACTTGTAGAATCAGGATAAAGTGAGGAATAAAAGGGAGCTAGTATTGTATGCAGTGGCTATATACTCAGACAAATGTAGATATAGTAGAAAGTACTTTTAAAAAATAGAAGCAAATGCAGAGTGCAAACGAAAAAAATGTAACTTTTAGCAATCATGGTGGTGATGGTACTATTATTGTTCTGAGCCTATTGTGTTCCTAAGCCTATGGTTCTAAATTTAAATTAGAAGTATAAAAATAAACTCAGCATGTATTTTATTTTTAATAGTATATAGATATTTCCTAGCTCTGTCCATTAAAAAGGCCTAGAAACCATGCTAACACAGAAGTGATAAACATATTTGGTGCCTATATTGTGGTTTTGAAATACTATTTCCTAGTGAAAGAAACCAGGGCCTATTGGAGAAATGGCAGATTCCAGATCTGGGGCATGAGATGTATAAGATGAGCCTAGAATATTTTGTCATATCAGATGGCAAGGAAGCTATCAAAAATTACCAGGATCATGTGAAAAGGACTCAAGTACCAATGGAAGAGGATCTCTCTGGCCAAAGGGAGATAAACTGAGAGGCAATAAAAGTAATGATAGCAATGACTCAAAACGCATAAAATATGAAGAATACATGAGTTTATGATGACTAAAATAAAAAGTCACCTTTGTAGGAGGGCAGGAAATATTAGTGAACAAAGGGAAAAAATCAAGCACTTACTTTTCCTCTTTTATCTAAATTGTACCACCAATTAAACAAACAATAGATGGGAGGAAGTATATTTTTATAGAAATATTCTAGCTAATAAATGAAAAATATATAACTGAATTAGAATATCCTATAGCCCACAATAAATTAATGGGTCTAGGCATTGAGCATCAATATATGCTAAAGTCACAGAGACCTCCTGATGTACCACTCATTATCTTGCCAAAGGTGAGACTCAAAACCTGAGTCTCAAAAAGCCTAAAAATCCAGTTACGTTTGCAGGAAATACAAAGGGCAGGGGAACTTGCTGAACTGCACCATAAGTATGGCACTGGTATCATCCAGGCTGCAGGAAACCCTACAGGTCAAATTGCTCTGGGTTCTTTAACAGATAAATTGTATGGAAAATAAACGTTTGGAAAGGAAAACTAAGTTTAAAGAGGTTTAAAAGACATATCAAAGATTTTAAAAAATGGACATCACTGAACCACAGTGTTCAGGAATGCCACTTGGTTGCTAAAACCTAAAAACGAGAAGGAAGTGATTTTTATAAAGGTCAGTATAGTGGTTACTTTCAGGGTGAGGGAGGCAGTTATGATCACCACAGAGCACATGGAGGGCCTCTCACATGGCTGACCAAGTTCTGTTTCTTGATCTTAGGTGACGGTTAAAAGTGTGCTTACTGTGTAACAATCCATTAAGCTCTATATTTGTTTTTTTGTGTGTGTCTGTATTTTTGTTTTATTTGATAATAAAAAGTGGTATTAAAAATTTAAATGCACAAATCTTTTGACTTAGCAATTTCACTGCTTGTCTATAAAATAAACTCACTGAAATATGCAAAGATATAAGTATAGGTATCTTCACTGCAGTACAATATATTTGTAATTGCTAAACAGTTGGGGTGGTGATGGAAATGTCTGTTAGATGGGGGCTCACTGAATAAATCATGGTACATCACACATTGGAATAGTATGCAGCCAAGAAAAATGAGATAGGTCTATATCTCAGACATATCATTAAGTGGAAAAAAAGCAAGATGTAAAATAATATTATGCTGATCTCATATGTGTATACACATGCATACACATTGTATTTGCATTAAAAATATTTTGCAATAAAATACCCCAAATGAGAAAACATAAAGGCCAGAAAGGATCAGTGCAGGAAAAGCATGACAAGATGGCTGGCAAAAGTAAACTATTGGTGAGTTCAACCCCAAGAGAGCAGATTTACTACTATGTGCAAGATTTGTTTAGGGTTCATTTTAATAAACAATGAGACACAAATTAAATTAAAGGTCATCTTACCATTGATGGTTCCTTAGAGTCTTCAGAGTATTGAATTCAACTTAAACTTGGAGCCCCAGTGCTGTTGGGTGGACAGGAAATTCAACTTTGGTCAGTCTGAAGTATCTTGGGTACACTCACTGAAGGCTCTGGCAGGGACCAGGCATCTTAAGAAGCACAAGAACATCTGGAGGCCCTTCTCATCATTACTCCATAATGGAATGTCCCAATCTGCATTATCCCTTTGGGTTGACCCTCTGCTATTTTCTAGAAAAGAGGTACTCTTTGGTAAAGACATGGCCTCCCTGAGGCATGCAGAACAGGGGTACTGCCAAGAAGCAGAGAATAGATCTTGATAGTGTGGGGAGATATGGTTCTCCTCAAGCCACAATTCTCTTTGATGGGTTTATTCAGAACTAAAGCCTGGAAGTTCAGCCACAAGTCTCTCCTGAGGTAAAGACACAGAACCAGTTAGAATGAGAGAGGAAAAGGGGAAAAGACAGAGAGACCACAGAAAGCAGTATTTCTCAAAAGCTTTTCTCATCAAATTCCTTTCATTTTAGAGTTGAGGAAACAGGGGCATGGGCATAATAACCAAAGGCATATTAACACATAGTTACCAACAGAGCTGGCTCTTTCTACTATGTCACAGTGCCTCTTGGCTTTTCCTAATTCCCAACCTGTTCTATTCTACATTTCCCTTGTTAATTGGCACATAAGTTTCTGCACCTAGAGTTTTAGACATATTTGGAAACTTCTTCTAGACATGTTGATCCACTCAGGGCTGAATTATCTGTGACAGCAAGAATAGCTCCACCTTGGGGCATATCCAGCAGGATGAGGGATGAGGGGATAAATCATGTAGTGTTCCATTCTTCCTGGCTCTTGATATTTTCACACAAGAGAAATCAGGTTCCTTGGAGTGCACAGGCCCAAAAGGCCATTTTTAGGGTGTGTGTGGAGGAAAAGTCCTTCTGTGGAGGAAAAGGTAAAGTCCTATAGGCCCAGTTACTCTCCACAGACACCCTTAGGATGGCCTTGGGGAGCCTGATTCCTCCTGTGGCAATGATACACGTGCACTGGATGACTTGGAAGAGGCAGGTGAATGAGCTATATGTATGTAGCTAAGTCGTTGATCCTTCTTAGCAACAGCTGGCAAGACCCTGTCCTTTTCTTACTGCCTCTGAGAGTCACTGTTCACCTCCCTGTAGGCAGGAAAGGGAAGAGGAAGTGGTATTGCATCTAATTTTGAGAGTAATTGTTACTATATCAGTGTGCAAAGGGCACGTTCCAGTGGGCAGTGTGGGAGTGCTCAGGACTGTCTGGCTATAGGCATGGTCTAACACTTTCTTGTATTCTTTCTTCTAATAATAAATTGCGAGAGAACAGAATGTACTGTTGTGTTTATAATTCAGGCAAACCACATACAGGTATTGGCCAACATGGTTTGATATGTTTTGTTTTTTTTTCCCTTAAGCCAACCTGACAGAAAAGCATTGAGAGTTGCATTGACCCTTCCAACATTTTTCTGTCCAGTCCATTAATCATCAGCAGAATAGCCAAGAGACCATGTTATTGCGCTGTAGCCCAAAGAGGTCTGTGGTTGTAAATGGGTTGATTGGGAACAAAGTTATATCATTGCAGTTCTGATTGATTAATGCTGAAGTCATTGCTAAATAATGGTTACCAGCCCGTTTCCACAAATCATGCAGTGGGTGAATAAGAACTAAGTTAAACAAACTTAGGCCTGTGATCACAGCTTTTTCTTGTGGTGGAGGCAGATGTATGGAGATAGTGGGCAAGGGAAGAAAAAATTAGATCTGATCACAAGTGAACAGAAAGCAACAGCAGTTTGGGTTCTCATGGTGACTTGGGCACTTCCCTTCTTCTTGCAGTTGCTTCTCATGTCTCTGCATTCCCAGTCTCTCTCATCAGATTGCCTCTGAATGCTGCCACCACAGTCACTCCCCTCTATCACTCTTGCTCCCTTCTTACAGATTTCCATGACTAACCAGATGGAGTTACTGCCTACTCAAATGATTTAAACCTCCCCTTTCTCAAGGCTTTCCTACCCCAGTTCTCCAACTCCCCTCAATTCTTCCCAATTTGTTTCGAGCAAAATACATTCTACATCATTCCACTTGTCTCTTTCTCTCTGTGTTTCTTTTTTATCACTCCCATGTTCAAGTATTTGCATGCATGGAAAGATAACATTCTTCTACTTAGGTTAGATGACCTTTCAAAATATTTAGTGTATTTCCACTAATCCTGAACACAGAGTAGGTAGGATATTAGAGTCACAAGAATGTTTGGACAATATCAAATTTAAATCTTGTTTGTGGTTCATTGAGGCATATTTGAACAATTAATGGGGGAAATGTTTTTAAGTTTTAAGGAAGCTTGGGTTGCTTTGGTATCAGCAACCTTTAATGTTGCTTCTTGACAGCTTTCTAATTGGTAGAAGGTGCTTCTTAAACATGCACTTTTGTGAAGTCAGAACCAGCATAGGCTGAGCCAAATCATGATTAAAATTCTTGCTGGCTGCTCCTTTTGCCAGTAGAGTTCTGTGTTTCCACTTGTTGGAAATACATCTGCCTGTCAATGTTTGAGAATGCCAGTACCTTTTTGAAATTACAAACACATAGTGTTCCTCTTCAAGAACGTCAGCATTCATAATTTTTAAGTCTCAAACTTCAAGAAATAGAAGCAATTGAATTTCTCTGCATCTTAAAGTAGAAATAGTAATATTAGATGGATTGGCAATAATGTTATTTATGCTTTCAAAAAGGAGGTCCTTCTAAATTTATGCCTGTGTATTAGTCACAAGCTAATTCATTCCTTAACTTCAAATGACTTTCTTTTTTCTTTTTTCTTTGGTCCCAGAAATTCTGAATGATTGTTACAGTGTAGAAATTTACAGAAGTTTGAGTTGAAATGAAATGTTTCAGAACTCAAGTAGACATAAATTATAATTTATTAATGCAAAGAAAACACTTAGTTCCAACATCTCTTACAGGAAAGTTTTTAAATATTCTAGATATGAAAAGATTTATGAGGTGTGATTTCATAAGTAAAAAAATTATTTTGGTGAAAACTCTTTTTTGTAGATAAGAAATCACAAGAGTAATTAGATGAATTTCTGTGGAAATCATTTGCTAACTCAATTGAGCAAGTGAAGTCCATTAATCTTTAAAAACCAAGATACATGTTTAATATTAGTTTCTGGTACTGAATTCTTTTTATTTTCTTACAGAGCTGTTTGTGGAATCTCTTATTTTGAAAACATGGCACTTTAACATGGGTTGTCAGTAACTTGATCCTAGTAATATGGTAGAAAAGGCATTAGGTTAGAAACCATAGGGCCTCGGTATCATTTTCATTCTGCTATTTACCAGGTTTGTGACTATAGTCATTTCTCTCTCTTCTATACTTTGGACCTCCATTTTCTCCTCTGTTCAACAGAAAGAAAAAATACCTGATCTAGCCCTAGCCGGTTTGGCTCAGTGGATAGAGCGTTGGCCTGTGGACTGAAGGGTCCCAGGTTCGATTGTGGTCAAGGTCAGGTACCTCGGTTGCAGGCTCCTCCCCAGCCCAGGCCCTGGTTGGGACTCGTGCAGGAGGCAACCAATAGATATGTTTCTCTCACATTAATATTTCTCTGTCTTTCCCTCACTCTTTCACTCTCTCTAAAAAATCAATGGAAAAATATCCTCAGGTGAGGATTAAAAAAAACACACAACAAAACAAAACAAAAAAACCTGATCTCCTTGCCTCTTAATGTTGTCATGAGGATCAAATAAGGTACTAACTGTTAAATCATTTTGAAACTATAAAGTGTGAGATGGTGAGCATTCTACTCCTCTCAGATTACATTGCCTCAAATGCATTATTTAGGAAAAGTACGAGCTTGAATGCCATGTGGAGTCCTTGTTGACACTGCAGATGTTGGTTAATTTTAGATTCTAAAAGAACAAAAGAACAGAAGCACAACCAAGCAAATTATCCTCTTTAGCCTTTTCTTCGAAATCTCCTATTATATGAGTACCAAACTAAAAATGGCAAGCTAAATATTATAGAAAATTACATCATTTGAAGCATTGAAATTCTGTATATCCAAGCCCTTTTGCAGAACATGACTTTATTTCCTCCAAAGCACATCACCAATGAATTTAATGCTATAAGATTAATTATGGTTATATCTTCAAGGATCAAGTAAAAGGATTTTAATCTCCAACTTTAACTTCAAGTAACACAACCAGTAAAAACAGAAAAGTCTCAGAAGAGTCACAGAAAGATATGCAATCCATTTTGGTGGTCATAGCCTCTCTTGAACCAATGAAAAATTGATCTAAGCTCAGCTAGCCCTGGGTTCAATTCTGAAAATTCATATTTGCAAGTGTGCATTTCTTTGCAGAACAGATGCAACAGACATGCACATACTCATGAGAACTGCTTTTACAACCTCATCAGTTTGGAAGACCTGTCCTGCTCACGTGTGCCATCTGTAAGACATCTCTTTGCATCTTGTCAAATCTGACTTCCTGCTTACACATGCACAAACAAGAGGTGTTTTGTAAAATATGTAGACAGCATCTGTCATTCTATCCCTTGTTTGCATACCATCCACTAACAAAAAAATCCTGAAATAAGCTGAGCATTTTGTGTTTCAAAATTATGTGTGTATGTATATATATACATACATATACACATATATGTATAAATTATAAGTAATATATTTAATAAATAAATGTAATATATGTAGTTCCATATATATGAAGCAATAAAACAAAGGATACTTCATATCAGAACATAGCCATTAGATTACCTGAAGCCGTTTAAAAATGGTCCTGTTGATATTCGGAGTCTAGATTTTTAATAACATTTTCTGGAAAATAATCCTGTCTCAAAATTGCTCACTAAGTCTTAGTGCCTTAAGATATTGACAGAATATCACTCTAATTAAAAATAATTCTCAAACAGAAATGTTTCACCTACCTAAGATCCTTGTTTCTCTAACAGGCAAAAATTTCAAAAGATGTTTCAACCTATATTTTAGAAATTTGGTAGATACTATATGATATGATATCTCAAAATGTGCTCTCCACTGGAGGAAATATTCAAAGTAAATCCAAGGGTAGATTTTAGGACATTGCTTATTATGGATGCAGTCTAGGCTGATTATTTTAGTATTAAATATATTATTAATCACCTTCCTATCTAGCCCATATGCTACCTCTGTTAGCACAAAGGCCGAATAAGACAGGTGCAACTTGATTCCATGTTACATAGTTCTCTCAAATTGAAATAAATTTTAACCCTCCAAAATACTTTCCCATGTGAAGGACTGGATTACTGCAGATGATTACAAGCCTGAACCAGAAATGGATTCAAACAACTTTCATTCACTGCTGAAACTGAACTGGCTCTGACCCCCAAAATAAATTGGCTTAGTTCCCTGTAAGAGGAACATGAATCAGGTTGCCATCTGTTCCTTTCCTTCTTTAACATCAGTGGGCTGGGTTAAACATATAACCGGAGGAGTCCTTGGGGGAAGGGGAACAGAACTCTGGGTTGGTGTGTAGATGGGTGTGTTGCAATGGTAGAGTCACCCCAGGTGCAAGAAGAGAGGAATCTGGAAATTATCTGGGGAAATATTGCAATTTGTCAAGCCATGGGAACAAGATGAGATTAATTTGCCTAAGTTTGTTTGAAGACATTGCATAAACTAAAGCTCCTTTGTTTGCCAGAGATGAAACACGTAATCTAAACTAGTTTAATCAAAAGGTAATTTAGAGTTTCTGCTTCAGGCAAAGCTTAATCCAGGGCTCAAACAGTGTGACCCAGGACTTGGTTTATCTCTCCCCATTTCTCTATTCAGCATCTTCAACATCGGCTCCATTCTTGGACAAGCTCTCTCCTTGTACAGCCAACGTGGATGCAAGCCACTCCAGGGACTCTCGTCTCTAGATCCCAATCTAGAGCAACCCTTCAATGATTTTTATTACAATTAGAATACAGTTCAAACTCTTTACCGTGCACTTCCAAGCCCCACATGATCTGATCTGGCTCCTGTGTGCTTCTTTGACTTCACCTTCTACCTCTGCCCCTCACTCCCTCCATACCACACAGGCCTTCTTTCAGTTCCTCACATCTACTTTGCCTGCTGTTGTCGCAGGGCCTCTGTCTGTGCTCTTCCCCCTGCCCTTCTTTCTGTACAGTTGCCTCCTTATCATTGATGCTCATACACCCCTTCCTCAGGGAAGCCACTCTGATCACTCCAGTTACATCAGCCTTGCACTCAACATTGTTCTGTCTGCAGCACCTGTAACTATATAGACTAACGCCATAATTTGCTGGTTTGTGCTTATTGTCCCCACTATAATGTAAGTCCTATGAAGTTTCTTGTATGACCAGTGCCTAGAACAGGGGTGGGCAAACTTTTTGACTCGAGGGCCACAATGGGTTCTTAAACTGGACCGGAGGGCCGGAACAAAAGCATGGATGGAGTGTTTGTGTGAACTAATATAAATTCAAAGTAAACATCATTACATGAAAGGGTACGGTCTTTTTTTTTTTTTTTAGTTTTATTCATTTCAAACGGGCCGGATCCGGCCCGCGGGCCGTAGTTTGCCCACGGCTGGCCTAGAACAATGTTGGACATGTAATGGCTCCAAACAGTTTTGTTGAATAAATGAAGGAATTTAAAATTATTATGGGTAGAATATTTCATTTTCTTAGAGAACTTTTACTGTATCTATCTATCTATCTATCTATCTATCCATGTAAAAGGCTAAAATGCAAAGTGTCTCCTCGGGAGTTCAACTGGGAGAGCGGGAGTTTGATTGCTCACCATGATGTGTGCTGACAACCAGGGGGAGGTGCAAAACGAAGGAAGGCCCTGGCCGGCCCTTATTGCCAGCCAGGCCTAGGGCCCCTACCCGTGTACGAATTTCATGCACTGGGCCTCTAGTTTAATTATAAAAAGGCAATAAATAATTATAAAAAGAAATGAGGATGTCATGATTGGCTTTTGAAGAAACATTGTGGATAGTAGGCTAAAAGAGTTAATAGTGAGAATATAATTCTACTAGAAATCGTAACTTATGCCATAAACCAATGTAGGCGACAGGTAGGCCTAGGAACTATGTTAGGTAGAGGGATATAACAATGACCTGACATTGGTTTTGCACTTGAGGAGCCAAAAATCTATCAAAAAATATAATTTTATAATTATAATATCTAATATCTACATAATGAAAATCATATTCACATTTATGATTACCTCATTTGATCACCACAAGAGTCCTATGAGGTAGAGTATTATTATAATTGTTAAGATTACAGTTTTATAGATTAAACAACTGAGGGCCAGAGAGGTTATGTGACTTGCCTTGGATGGCACAGCAAGTAATGAATAAGGTTTTTAAGTTAGACCCAGATATTTTGACTATCTCTCCTGTTCTACTTTACCACTATGTCTATTCAGTGTGATAAATGTATGTGCAACATGCTATGGGAGGTCAAGTATAACAAAGAGATTTTTTGTCTGGGGAGGTGAGGGAAGGATTCATTGAAGAAAAGTCATATAAATGGAGCTGTGAAAGGTGAGCAGGAGTTTCTAGGTAGAGAAAGAGGCATATTTCAGGCAGAGATCTAATTAAAAAAGGAAGGTGAAAATGTATAGCATGTTGCATGTGGTGGGGAGCAGAGAAGTCCAGAAGAAGAGGTTGGGGCCCTATTCTGTGAAAGATTTTCAGTACCATTTTGTACACAGTTAAGTAGTCCCTGAATGCAGGGGATTGAAACAGCCAAATCTGGGTTTTCAAAAGAAAATTAGAACGGCAGATTGGTGGGTGAATTGGAGCATGAAGAAACAAGTTAGGCATTTTTTTCTTTTTCTTTTTTTCTGTGATTGTGCAAGCAAGTTTAAGTGTCTGAAGGAGGAAAGTGGAAATGAAAAGGACAGATTACAGAATGTGTGAATTAGACTCACTTTGGGGAGGTGGAAGAAAGCGAGGAGTAAAGATTTTTAAACATTTTTAGCTTATATGACTTGGTAGATGATGATTTTCTCAACCAACTTAAAGAATATAGAAAAATGATTTGAGGAGAGAGATGGGGGTTTTCTTGTAGCTAAGATTTATCTTTTACTCATTTTTTCATCTGAGGTGGCTGTTTGTAATGTCTAGTTAGATATGTTACACAGATAGTTAAAATTATGGGCCTAGCCTTTGAAAGCTACGTTGAAGCTAGACATCCAGTTTTTGGAGTCATCAAATTACAAGTTGCATAAAAATTTCTATAGCAAAAGAGGCATAGGAAACTTTTTGGCTTGATGGAAATGTTCTATTTCATGGTTATGATAGTGGTTACACTGTTATACATGACTTAAAACAGATCAAAATTTTACACATAAATGGATGTATGTTATCTTAAATCCCTTATAAAACTAAAAATAGAAGTGAACTGCTTTATATAAATAGTGATAAATAATTTTTTAAAAAATTTTTTATCAGCTGTTTTTTAGAAACAAGAAGAGACTGGGAAATTGTTCTACACACACCTTTAAAAACATCAGCACGGAAAGCTGCCATGGTTTCCGTTGTTCCAGAAACCAGTGCTAGATGTGCCAGTCTTTGGGCCATATAGGAGTTCTGCATTCAAAATCGTATTCCCTCCCCAAACCACCCTCCTCCATCCTCAGCACACCTTGTGCCACCTGGGTTGACTTCTGTATTCGGAAGAGCTAAGACAGGAAAGGTGCTTGAAGAATATAATATGACTCATTGCTGAACAAGAAATCTTTGCTTATTGATTGATTTTAGGCTAAAGGCCAATTTGGCCTCCTTTTATGGCACCATTCCCTCAGCATCACTTCCGAATTGTCCTTTCAGTGCTCAGTTTAAAATCTACTTGCCCAAAAAACATTTTTGATAGGAGGAGAAGGCTGATACCTATATTCACCCATCAGCGTGGACACATCTACCATGAGTATACAGTTACCAAATGTGTATCTTTATGTTCACATCTCAATTCTGTCACTTACTACGTCTTAGAGCCCTTGAAGAAAGTGAGACTAATAAAATCTACCTTGCAGGCTGGTGTGGATGAAGTCAGATAGCATAAGTGAAATGCTGAGCATGGCATTGAGGAGGCACTTAATGAAAGGAAGATATCTTGTCAAGCCTGACTATACTTTCTGAATTATTTAGTCTGTATCATTTTTTTTTTCAATGTAAAAGCACTCTTACCTGTGCTCTGCACTCTCACCCTAACTAATACATCCTCAGGAGACATTTAGGGAATGATGGTTAGGAAGCTGACAGGTCAAGGATAAAGTTGAAAAGGATTTATATAATACATACATAGATGAGAAGAGAGCGTTCTGGGGAGATGGGAGGGTGAGGAACTAGATTCAGAGATGATGGCAAAGGTCTTTACATTTCCTCTTTCCATTTATTTAAAAATGTATCTTGCTAAAAAGAGGGGACAGAAGGACCCATCTTGATGAGTGGAGCTGCAAGTCTGTGTGCCAATACACCTGGTATTGATTCATGCCAGCTGGGAGAGGAGCTTGGCTTCCCAGTGTTTTACTACTGTGGTTTCCTGGGCTGGGCAGCTGGGTGTCTAATAATGATAAAAACCATAATAATACTTCATAATTACGTACTGCCCTTTGCCAGAACTTGGATTTAATTACAATGACTGTGCCGGAACTGGCAACAACTCCCTCCCTGTGGGGTGCAATACCCAAGGGCCTGGAAATACAAAGTGAAGTGGCAACAGCAACCTTCTCCTGCAGAGTCTACCCTGGCAATTCACCCAAAGTGCTTTGAGTTGGAAGCTCATCATCGGAAACAAAGAGTACTTTTAAACTGCCCACATGTACTTGGCACTGTCCAATAAACAGTGTCTATGAAGCAACTACTGCTACACATGGGGCACAGCTTCATGGGATCCCAGGGCTGGAAGGGATGAACACAGATTGTCAAATTCATGATTACCCTGTCCCCTACCATGAGGCATCACTACCACTAGATTCTAATAGGTGAGTTCACTGACCTTCCATTCTGATCTGGGCCAGGGATGCTTCTGTGGCAGTGATTCAGGTCTCAGGCGACTCACCAATTCATTTAACACTCGTTTTCTGAGCACCCATTCTGGGCCAAGGTGCTGAGGAGACACAAAGATGTATAAAGTAAGGCATAATCCCTGCCCTCAACGTAGCTTATCTTCTGGTTGGGGGATTTGTATTCAGGCAACTGTAACATAAAAGGAAAAGTTCTGGGCCTTACTCTCTTTAAGAATAAGAAGAGAGGATGAGTGTTGGGGTGAGGGTGGGGGGGCAAAGACTGAGGTGAAGAGCTGGGCCACGACTCCAGGAGGGTCTTGCAGGTGTCCCTGTCTTTTTGTTGTTGTTGTGGGGTAGGTTTTTGTTTGTTTGCCTTTGTCCTCATAGCAACTAGCATCTCCTGAACTATCTTGTTTATTTGCTACTTTACTGATAGACTTTTGTATGTCTCACCCCATTCATGAACCTTATCTGTTTTGTTCATCACTCCAGCCTAAGCATCTCAAATAACCCCTGGCACCTAGTAAAGTGCTTAGTACATACTGGCCTGGTGAATATAAATGGCCAGGTGAGGCCGTGGCTGTAGAAATGGAGAGGAAAGGGCATTTGGTAAATCGAATCAACAGGGCAAAATTAGAAGGGAGAAAGAGGTGTTACACAGTGGGGGCGTAGCATGGAGGATTACTCCCAGGGTCCTGGCTTGGCTAAGGGAATGGATGGTGATGTTACCAAAGAAGATAAGGAACAGATTGTGTGGACTTCCGGAAGCATCTGGGTTCCCATGGTGAACCCAGACGCACATAGAAGGTGTACCCAGCCATCAAGACGATTAGGCCACCTACTCTGCAACAGAACGATGCTGTACGACTGAGGAGGGGGCTCGGGATCCCCTCTGGACTCAAAGAGCCAACAGAGAACAGAGCTGGATTAACTGAAGAGAAAGACAACCTGCGGTTGTAGTTTCAGGGAAATGATAGTTCCAGGGAAACTGGGGTCAGGTGTGCATTTGGGTGGTGACCAAGTTTCAAGAAGGATGTAGTCTATCTATAGAATATACTGCAACGGAGATCAAGTAAGAACTGAAAAGTGACCCTGAAGAAGAGCACTTTCAGTGGACTCACCGGGAGCATAATTGGGCTGGACTTGAAGCGTGAACTGAATGCTCGACAGGGTCTCATAGGCAAGTTGTTTTTTCCTTTGGGTGTGTGTGTGGGGGCGGGGGAGGGGTAGGTAGTAGTTTGTTTTATGTTTGGAGGCGTTGGAATCCAATCACGGGCTTACCTAACACAGAAGTTTGTGAATGATGACAGGTTTCTAGGAGGCCAGCGGGAAAGAGTCCTGGCAGCGTCACAAGGCCTCAACTAGGAAGCTTCTACCCTTTCGTCCATTTCTAGAGCGGGTGCCCTTCCGTGTACAGTGCAGGCAAAGAGTGGGCGACAAACACCCCTCCATGGATTTGTGAGTCACGTTTGTGACAGCTGGGCGTAGGGATGGCAATACTCGAATTAAGTGGAGCGCCCAGTTTCCCGCAGATCCTGCAATGTAGCTGGAAGAAGCTCGGAGGCTCATTCACATTTTCCGCCCCGTCGCTCACACTGTCCATTCATCACTTTCCCTTTCCTTTTCCTGAACGAAGTTGAAACCAGGGCAAAGCTGGCTTCCTTCTCCCACCTCAGGTTGACCTTCCGCCCCCAAGCCCACCCGGGGCCCGACTGCGACCACGTGACCACCCTGCGTCCCAGCCAGTCGCTGCCGTCGACCCCTCCCCTCGAGCCGCAGCCCGCTTAACCCCGCCCCTCGAGCTCACGTGACCAACTCTCTCCCACCTGACTGGCTCCTCCCTTTCCCCTCCGGGCCCGACCCGACCGCCGTAGCAGCTGCCCGACTCCAAAATGGCAGCCGCGCGCTGCGCGCACCCGAGCGGCCGGACCTCCCGGACTCCCGGGCCGCCCCCCTCTCGCTCCCAGCCTCCCTCCCTCGGCCTTCACCTACCTGCCTCCGGATTGGCCACTAGGAATCCCGCCCCTCCAGAGCCCCTCCTGTTATTGGTCACGGTAGGCTGCCCTTCCGAGAGGCGTGCCCCCGCCGCCCCCCACCCGGGAGGTATTTTCCATTCCGAGGGGGGTTGGGGGGAGGGGGGAGGGGAGAAGGGTGTCAAGGGGGAGGCGGCCGGGAAAGGGGGTGGGGGCCTGGCGGGGGCATCCGGCGGAGCTGGTGTCCCCGAGCTCGGTCCGGAGGGAGGGAGACTGCGCTCGTTCAGGCAGTCGGAGGGGACGGGACCGCGGGCGGGCGGACTCGCCCTCTCGGTGACTGCGCCGTCCAGGCCCATCCTGCCTGGCCGCAGGTGCCCCTGGATGAGGCCGCCCCGCGCGCCCCGACCGGTGAGTCTCCCCGCGGCCCGCGCCCGGCACTGCCGGCACCCGTTCCCCGGCTCCTGTACCGCCCTTAGCGGCCGCCTCTACGGTCCCCGGTGCCCGCGCCCGGCGGAGTCCGCCTCCGGCCGGTGCTTCCACGCCCCGGGCGGAGGCAGCGTAGTGCCTCTGGCCGGGAAGGAGACGGCGGGCGTGGGACAGCGAGCCCTGTGCAGACCGCGCCGCGCGTAGTGGGAGCTTGCGCTTAGTAGGCTCTCGATGCATTTCTGTGGAACTGCTATCTGGCTGGGGAAACGTGAGGTGTCTCAGGGGAACAGGGTACCCCCCGGTCTAGTAGGGGAACGTTAGTGATCCTGGTCGAGGTGGATGGGGGCGAGGCTACCGGAGATTGTGGGGCAATGCGGGCGCTGCAGGGAACCGGGCACCGCCGACTGACTTAGGGCTCTAAGACTCTGACGGGAGCGGGGGTCCTCAGGGTCGAAGAAAAGAGGTCCACTGGCAGAGAGGGGACACTGGGACGCTTGATGGGGGCTGAGGTGACTGGGGCACCCCGGGTTTATAACGCGAGGTGGGAAGGGATGCGCCGGCGGCTGCAGGAAGACTTCTCTGCAAACTGCTCGGGGTCCTAAGATTCCTGGGGACTGGGGTTTGGGTATTTGGGTAGCTGAAGCGAAGCGACTTTCCGGAGAGGGGATTGCATGTAAAGAAGGATGCTAAGAAACAATTTAAGTGCACACCGTGGCATGGATCTCAAGTTTGAAGGCTGGGCGAGTGGAGTCTCGAGAGGTGATTTTGACATTTCCTTTTGGCATTCCCACCGAAAGCTGGCTCGCAGCTAGACCTTTTAAGCTACCCTTTAATTTTAAGTGTATGCACGTATTTGATGGTGTTTTACAGTTAACCAGTTTTACCGAAGATTCTCAAAGCTGCACCTTGAAATTCTTGTAGCAGCCGCTCCAGCTGCTGAAGATCCTTTCTTCAAGTCTCTTCATCTATAGCCACTGCTCAGTTCTATACCAAGTGGCTCAGTTCTTACCAAGTTAACATTTAGATTGGACTGGATTGCTTAGTTTGCTACTGACTTGTATTCTACAACATTAATACGTCATTCACATGCTTTCTTTTTCTTGTTTTTAATTGTTTCTTTACAAGATCATGCAAAATTGAATCACAAATTCTATAGAAGTTTTAAGATACTTTGTGTGTTGAATTGGAAAGATGTTGGTAAGTTAGCAGCCTAGAAGCCAATACTAAAATCGGGTTGAGGTTTCTAACAGTTGGGGATCTTAATGTCAGATGCTTAGTTTAATTTTAAGAATCTTGCATTTGTATAACACTCTTGAGAATGGATTAGGAACATAGAAAATGCATATCAGCGTTAGGCAGTGAGTGGCAGTCCACAGAGGCACTTCCTGTCTCTGAGAAGCAGCAGCTAAGATTTGCACTGCTAAATCTTTAATCTTTTAAATATTTCCTTAACCCCATATGTTATCTTACTAATTTCTCATAATTTATAAAATGAAAGCTTTTTAAGGGAGTACTTAAAGAGATTTGGTGAAATTTTATAGATCAGATTGTGCTTTTTAATGCAATTCATTGGTCAGAGAAAATCTGCAAAAAAAGTTAATATGTTCAGTTGGCACCTCTTTAGTTCTTGAATAATTAATGGATAATTACTTTTTTTTTTCCTCCCTATTGTCCTTGAATTTTACTGTTTGTCCTTAGGGAGAATGTACTGGCACACAAAACAGTAGCCTAAAATACTGAAACCTAACACCTTTTAACATTATAATAGCTTCTACATTTTTCACCTTGAGATTCATCTGTAGCAAACCAGTGATCTTAGAAAGCTATTTCTTATCACCTTTGTTTAGAATGGGCTGTTTTCTCCATTTGTAGACAAGGGACAATAATGCAGTAATAACTAAACAATGAGAATGGGAAGCTTGGGAAAAAGATATATGGTATGAGCCATATTTCTTCTAGAGCTGGAATTGTAGACCATGGAGATGATTATTTTGCAGGAAACCAAGGCCCAGAATAGTGGAAGGGACAAAATTGCTTGTTAGTGATGGACAGATCTCTGGACTGTAGTCCAGGGTTTTTCTATTTTATCACATTTAAAGTGTTTATTTTCTATTTTTCCCATTGAGGCATTTTATTTGCACATATGTATTATACCTATAGAAAAAGAATCCCAGGATTTGCCCTCCTGTGTGTCTTTGTCTTCATGGTCCATAATGCCCGCTGAGGTTGGCAGTACAGTGAAACGAAACTGACAGGTTGTTCTTCCATTTTGCTAGATCTTTAAGTTGCACATCAAATCTGGACTGATCACTCCATACTTATTTAACCTGCCCATGTGGTTTACGACAATTTTCCCAGCTCTGTGATCAGTGGTGATCTCAGATTCACCAATGTAACCGTGCTTCATCATCACAGTTAGAAACCGGACGATGACTTTGGAGCACAGCCTAATAAGAACCTGGAGTTTGCCTCTCTTTTTGGCATTGTTGATACTCTTAGAGCCAGTACATTCATGTGCCTCATTATGGTGGCACGGAAAGATGGCGGAAAAGCATAGTGTTTAAACTAAAACATTCTAGTGCCAACTATAAATGGCTTTTCAATTATTTGTGATGTTGTTCCCTTCTAAAGATGAGAAGTTAAGTTGACTGATTTTTTTCTCTCCATTTTTAACATCTTTACTGAGGTGTAATTAACAAACAGTAAACTTCACATGTTAAAATATACAATTATGAAACTATCACCACAGTCAAGATAATGAACATATTCATCACCTTCTAAAATGTCTGGTCTCTGTAATCCTTCTCTTCTGCCCCTCCCCCATTCCCAGGCAACCCTTTCTGTCACTATGGACTACTTGGGATTTTCTAGAATTTTACATAAATAAATTCACATAGTGTGTACTTGATTTTATGTGGCTTCATTTGTGCAGCATAATTATTTTTGAGGTTTGTCCATATTATTATCTGTGTCTATAGTTCATTACCTTTTATTTGCTGAGTAGTATTCCGTTATAGAGTTATCCCACAATTTGCTTATTCATTCTTCTGTTGAGGACATTTGGGTTGTTTTTATTCTTTGGTTATTAAAAAATAAAGCTTTTATAAGCATTCATGTGCAAATCATTGGATAAATGCTCTCATTTTTCTTAGGTATATAACTAGGAGTAGAATGACTGGGTTGGATACAAGGTGTGATTTGTGTTGTGGTTGTGGTTATTGTCCTTTAAGAAATTGCCAAACTTTTTTCCAATATGTCTGTACCATATTACCCTCCCACCAGCATCATGTAAGAGTTCCAGTTAGTCCACATTCTTGAAGTTGACTACTTTTATACATGAAGTGATGTAAAGCTGTATGAGCTTTTACTGAAAATTTTAAAACAATATGCTGCATTGTTAGTGGAAGTGCTGGTATTTCTCTCAGTGGGAAGGGACAAACTGTCATCTAAATTTAAAATATTAGGTAAGCCCTAACCAGTTTGGCTCAGTGTTGGCCTGTGGACTGAAGGGTCCCAGGCTTGGTTGCGGGCACATCCCCAGTAGGGGGCGTGCAGGAGGCAGCTGATCGATGTTTCTCTCTCATTAATGTTTCTAACTCTCTATCCCTCTCCCTTCCTCTCTGTAAAAAATCAATAAAATATATATTTTTTAAAAATCTTCAAAAAAAAATTAGGTAAGCTTATTAGAGTAGGCTAGTGTTCTATAATTTTTATGCTAAAACTTAATTGCTTAAAAGATTTTCAGTCTGGCTGGTGTGCTCAGTGGTTGAGCGTTGACCTATGAACCAGGAGGTGATGATTGGTTCAGTTCCCAGTGGTCAGGGCACATGGTCTGGTTGCAGGCTCAATCCCCAGTGTGGGGTGTGCAGGAGGCAGCCAATCAATGATTCTCTCTCATCATTGATGTTTCTATCTCTCTCTCCCTCTCCCTTACTTTCTGAAATCAATAAAAATACATTTTAAAAAAAAGATTTTCAGATTTCAAAAGGCTCATTTTCAAAGAAAACTATATATTTAAAATATAAATTTTAGTGATTGTGAAGGTTTTATGTTAAAATGGATTCTAGTACCTTTATAAAAGAGCAGTAGTAGAATTACATGATAATTATGAAAACATAATTTCTATTATAGTTGTAATAGAGAAAAACTGGATTTGTATTTCAGCCACTTAATAACATTATGATCTCTGGCAAGTGATTTAACCATTGTGTACCTAGATTTCCTCATCTGTAAAGTGAGGGTAATAAAAGTACCCACCTCATAGAGTATTGGTGAGGATTAAAAGTGCTTCTTTAGCACATAGTAAGGGTACAGCAGATATTAGACCTTATACTTTATGGTTCAGTAGGCATATATAGGCATTTGTACGCTCACTTGTTTCCTTGCTGTTAACAAAATCACTTTGAGGCTACCAAAAAAAAAATTCCTAGATAAAAATAATAGTCTGCCTTAAGGGCAGTTAGTATAGTTGATGCTCTCACTTTTTGTCCTGCTTCCTCTGTTCACCTTAGACCTTTAATTAGATGTGCATAACAAGTTGGGTGTCTGTTTTTCTGAATGTCATCAGGAGACCCTTGTTGCAGTTTCACTAATATAGAAGCAAAATGTTAAAATTGATTTGCAGGTACTCTACTGAGTTCTAGAGGCCTACTGGGTATGCTTAGATAAGGAAACCAGGAATTTATAAGGTCTGTTATTAAACTCCTCTCTGCCAGTGGAACCATCAAAAGATCTTTGAACCTTGCTTTTTATTAACTGCATATTTTGATGACTTCATTCATTAAACTGTTAGGTTTTAGTGATAAAATTTGTGTTACTCCAATTTTGTAACATTTTGTTCTTTTTAAATTTGCTGTAACCCAGGTCTAATTAGTGTCATGAGCATGTGGTTTATCAAATGTATTTTGTGGTGACAGTGGTAGATTTCTTTTGGATTTGTATTGTTTTTGCCTTAGGAGGTCCTATTGCATTTACAGTAGCTC